ACACACAGGACTTGTACAATACATCTTGACCACAAAACACAACACACGACACACACAGGACTTGTACAATACATCTTGACCACAAAACACAACACACTAGTTACTACAAGACCTTTACCATTCATTCTGGCCACAAAACACAACAAACTATTTACTAGAGGACTTTTACCATTCATCAAACATCCTCTTTTTCTAGCGGTGATTTTGCTCATGTAGAAAAGTCCCACTCCACACAGAGCACAGACAATCAGGAGACACGAAGCCGACAAATGTTGTAAGTCTAACCCCAAAGGCTTCTGTTCCAACCACAATATATATATGTATTTCCTTTGCTCTTAGTCTACAAGGAACCAACAGACTTACTACTTGCTGGGTTCAGTTTTCTCTCAGTACAATGACTACAACAGGTAACAACTGATAATTGTCCGGGGTCAACGCCCTGTCAACACTAGACTGTTCCTTATGGCGACCTCTGAACCCTCCACTCATCTCTGATAGGACTGAGCAAACAACACCACAGCCTTCGACACTCAAACAAAGCTGGAGATAATCATAAACCGCGGGTCATCACGACCTTGGAACGATAACGACTACCACAAGTCCCACCGTTCTGCGAAAAGACTTCTCACAACCCAGTTTTCTTCCAACACCATGTGTGGATTTTATTCCTCACGGTGCAGAAACATTTCGCCCCAGATTTCCTGAAATTTCTTTCCTTCATTTTCAGTCAAAGTCAACAAGACAAGAAATATTTGACAATGATCATTGACTGAATACAGAGGAGAAGCTCTAGTATCTCTTATCTCTATGACAAGTACCCACAATGCTGGTGGGTGGTTGGTGGGTGCTCTGGTGTGGTTTGTTCCTTCTTTCCAATCAAATATCTATTGTTCCTTATATCTGCTCCTTCTTGTTTGTGTAGGTCACTCTCTTGTAGCACCTGTACTCCTAGGTACTTTAAGGACCGTATTGAGGTACAAGTGCTGTAAAACTCTCACTAAAACTAAAACAAAAAGCTGGTTAGAAAGAACAAAACATGTTTGTGACAGAATCAATAAGAGAGATAAGAAATGTAACACAATACCGCTACATGTTTAGCTAAATGTAACACAGTACCATTACATGTGTAGCTAAATGTAACACAGTACTGCTACATGTGTAGCTAAATGTAACACAGTACCGCTACATGTGTAGCTAAATGTAACACAGTACCGCTACATGTGTAGCTAAATGTAACACAGTACCGCTACATGTTTAGCTAAATGTAACACAGTACCGCTACATGTGTAGCTAAATGTAACACAGTACCGCTACATGTGTAGCTAAATGTAACACAGTACCACTACACGTTTAGCTAAATGTAACACAGTACCATTACACGTGTAGATAAATGTAACACAGTACCACTACACGTTTAGCTAAATATAACACAGTACCGTTACACGTTTAGCTAAATTTAACACAGTACCGCTACACGTTTAGCTAAATGTAACACAGTACCGTTACACGTTTAGATAAATGTAACACAGTACCACTACACGTGTAGATAAATGTAACACAGTACCACTACACGTTTAGCTAAATGTAACACAGTACCGTTACACGTTTAGATAAATGTAACACAGTACCACTACACATGTAGCTAAATGTAACACAGTACCGCTACATGTGTAGCTAAATGTAACACAGTATCGCTACATGTGTAGCTAAATGTAACACAGTACCACTACACGTGTAGCTAATTGTAACACAGTACTGCCACAACCACTTACATTTAGCACCAGGGTGTTACGTTGAACTCTCTGCACTGGCTTGAAGAGGGCATCTGTGGGGAGGGGGGGGGGGGGAGGGAATCACATTTCTACAGTCTGTCATTCATGGGGAGAATCACATTTGTACAGTCTGTCATTCACTCACAAATCAAATCTTTCAATTTATTCTAAATCCAACTCAAAGCATTTTCTATTCTTAGATTAAAGAGAGGTATCTAGAGAGGTATCTAGAGAGGTATCTAGAGAGGTATCTAGAGAGGTATCTAGACTTTCAGTCAGAACACAATCTACTATCAATTTGTTGATTTACTCCAATACTCAACTGTCTATTTGTTGATTTATTCAACTGTCTAGTTGTTGATTTACTCCAATACTCAACTGTCTATTTGTTGATTTACTCCAATACTCAACTGTCTAGTTGTTGATTTATTCAACTGTCTAGTTGTTGATTTACTCCAATACTCAACTGTCTATTTGTTGATTTATTCAACTGTCTAGTTGTTGATTTACTCCAATACTCAACTGTCTATTTGTTGATTTACTCCAATACTCAACTGTCTAGTTGTTGATTTATTCAACTGTCTATTTGTTGATTTATTCAACTGTCTATTTGTTGATTTATTCAACTGTCTATTTGTTGATTTATTCAACTGTCTAGTTGTTGATTTACTCAACTGTTTATTTGTTGATTTACTCAACTGTTTATTTGTTGACTTACTCTATTCTACTCCGTGTTTGTGAATTGCTATTGTCCACATAAAAACAGAGTGAGTGGTTGGTGGGTGCTCTGGTGTGGTTTGCTCCTTCTTTCCTATCAAAAATCTATCGTCCTTATCACTCCTCCTTCTTTTTCGTGTTTGTTACTCTCTTGTAACACCCCTAATCTTCAACACTTATATGACCTTATTGTGTTTGTTACTCTCTTGCAACACCTCTAATCTTCAACACTTATATGACCTTATTGTGTTTTTTACTCTCTTGTAACACCTCTAATCTTCAACACTTATATGACCTTATTGTGTTGCAAGTGCCTTAAAATGCTAACAAAACTACAACAAGAACAGGAACCCTGTGACCTCCTCCCTCACTCACCCTCCAGACTGGTGACCTCTCGTATCGTGGAGTTGACGATGATTTGCTGAAAACAAAAGGAAACAGAAGAAACTTTGGTGAAATCAGCTGACATAACGGTGGAAGGCACACAGGATTCCAAATGATGGGAGGTTAAAACGTGGAGCACAAAAAACAATAATTTGGAATATTAACCTGACTTTTTACGAATTTATGTACGTCATTAGAATATACCAACAGAGAGACAGCGTACAACTGATGTACAACATTAGAATATATACCAACAACTGATGTACAACATTAGAATATATACCAACAACTGATGTACAACATTAGAATATATACCAACAACTGATGTACAACATTAGAATATATACCAACAACTGATGTACAACATTAGAATATACCAACAACTGATGTACTACATTAGAATATACCAACAACTGATGTACTACATTAGAATATACCAACAGAGAGACAGCGTACAACTGATGTACAACTAACATTACAACTTTATAAAGAACATGACAAAAGAACATGA